AACATATCAAAAGTCTCTGTAGCAGTTTTTCCAAGTTTTACACAAAATTTTATGCACACTGTTCTTTCTCTTTATTTTGCGCTGAGGGAAATGCGACGTAGGCCCGTGCACGTGTCGTTCGAGGGGCGTTCAAACGGTACTAACAGTTGAAGTCGGCTTTGTGCTATAAAGAGCAGAAATTCCAGGTAAGATTTACGCGCAGAGACGAATCTTTACCACCAAAATTAGCCGAGTTATACAATCAGTCTTGATACTTTTTGATCACACCACGTATATGCAAAATCTTATACACTGTTCGTAATCAATTGCCAAAAGTTTTTGATGTAAGACCAAATGATACCTATGGATGATATTTTTCTTCTTTCAGTATTCGGCGAATTAATGTGCGAGTAACACCACACCCTTTCTAATTGACGTACTTGTCCCATACATATCATTCCCTTTCTTACCCTATCCCTCAGATGCGCTTCCTGTCCCCCGTTCTTTTGCACCGTGTAGCCCAGATACCTATATTCCTTAATCTCCTCTATTTTTTTCCCTCCCCATGTCTACTTTATCTTCTTTACTCTTTCTCCCTCTCTCCTGCACTTCATTATCTTTGATTTCCCAATGTTTAATTCCACCCTTTTCCTTTCTAGGTAGCTCTCCAACCTCGTCATCATCGCCCGCATTCCCTCTTTATCCTCCGCTAACAAGACAATATCGTCCGCATATGCTAATAAGTATATCTTTTCTCCTCCTATTCTCACCCCTCTCCGTCCACCCATTCTGAGCACCTCTAAATTTGCTAATAATAAAGTGAATAAGATCCGGCTTAACAGGCATCCCTGTCTCACTCCTCTCTCAGTCCAAAACTTATCCCTTCGTTCCCTCCCTATTTTAATCCTGCATGCCGTCTTTCTTAATACATTCTTACACCTCGTTATCAATCCCTCCCTTATCCTTTTTTCCCTTAACGCCTCTATTAAAATCTTCCTGTCTACAGTGTCAAAAGCTGCCTTTAGATCCACAAAAAACGCTACTAATTTCCCTCCCTCCTTCCTAATCTGACTGTTAATTAAATAATTTACTATATATACATTATCAATGACCCTCATTTCTTTCCTGAACTCCGCTTGACACTGTGGCAGTAGACCCTTTCTCTCTACCTCCTCTCTCATTCTCTCTGCTAACAGTTTTCCTCACTGACTCTCCCTCTTTTCCTTCTTTCTCTGTTCACCACCTCCCACATTTTCCCCTCGTTAATTGCTTCTGCTATCCACCTTTCCCATCTTTTATTTTCCTCCTTTTTTTTTTCTCTCACATAATGTTTTGTATCCTAGCTTCAATTTCCTATACTTTTCTCTGTTTTCTCTGTCTCTCTTCCATGCTCTTAGCTCTCGTTTTACCTTCCTCTTTTCCTCCTCACAATCTCTATCCCACCATTCTTTCCCTTTGTTTCTCTTTTTTCCTACATCCTCTTTTATCATGGCCTCTTTTATCCTCTTTCTTACTCTTTTTATTTCTTCTTCTATCTCTCCTTCCCCTATCTCGACCTTCCCTAGATTTTCCCTATATTTTGTTTGGAATTTTATGAATAAAATTATTTTGAATACTTCTAATTTAAAGAATAATTATTTTAGAAAAAAAATTTCAAGTAAGAGGAACTTATTTTCTCGCGTAGAATTCGATTTATGTTGAAATGTTGGATTAAAAAATTGAAAAGAACAAAGTTTACCCGTATTGCCTTTCACACATAAAGAGGGGTTCTCGTAAAGTGTAATTTAGCTTATATGAAAACTTATTTGTAGTTAATAAAATTGACTATAAAATATAAATTATAATTCAATGCTGAGCCATTCTACAATTAGTTAATTGTAACACTTTATTTAGCCTATCCTGTATAATTTAATACATATGTACGATATGATAAGTATCAAGAGAGTAGTGTCTCGCGCCAAGTACATACTCCATACACACATTTTTATCTCGTATCTCAAGGTCCAATTATTTTGTCCATGATGTGTATGATCTTGCAAATAATTATTATAAATTACTGTCGTTATTTTAATGTATGTATAGTTGATGTTAACAATTAGTTCTAATTTTTGTTGAAAATACTTTTAACACGTTGCAACTGTACAATTAGACAACTTTGTTCCCGACACAATTTTTATATCATTATGTATATTTTAATACGTTACCTAATTATATCTATATTTTAATCAAAATTTAATTTTCTTCTTTAAAAATATGTTTTATTATTTTAGAAGTCTTTTTAAATTAATTTTTGTTTTTTCTTTGTCAATAGGCATTCTACTTTGTGACGCCAAAGGACTTTGCGTTTCTACTTCAGACACATATTTTCTTTATTTATCTTTGTAATGAATATATTCGTATTTGGCGTTATATCCTAGGTACTAGCTACGTAAACTCATAACTAGCAGCATTTGTGACATTTTCATCAAATTTTATGAACATTGGAAAACTTTGGACTTTTTTGGAATTACAATGTATACAGGGTAGGATATCTAGAACACTAGAATATCTCGAAAACTGAGCAACTGGCGGAAAAAAATATTTCAAACAAAAGTTGTATGATCTGGAGGGGTGCAAATGCAATTTGTATTATGCAATTACACCTTTTTTGAAAAGCGACTATCTACATATGTTTTTTTACACCAATTAATTTATCTCATTATTCCGTATATAAAAATATTAAGCTACGGTTATGAAAAAATGAATAGTTTACGACTTTACGAGATATTTTATATTTTATGTTAAAATATGCTAAAATAAAGTATAGTATATTTCGTAAACTATTGATTTTTTGATAAATGCATTTTAATACTCTTATATGCAGAATCATTAAAGTAGCGCGCAACTTTCTGCGCCACGATCCCTACCTCTTGGAAGGAAGAGACACTGAAATTTTACCACTTAAAGTGAACTTTATAGTAGTCGTTCAGAAACCGACTTCAATTGTAGGTCCAATATATCTAATCTAGATATATGCAATAGAGGTTTCACGACGCTCGAAATCGAGCAATATGATTATTGCAACATGTAGAATAATTAGAAGAATCATATTATGTGAAAAAAAATTTTCATTAAAAAATGGTGATGACTTGCACGTGACTTTAAAGAATAAATTTTGTCGAAAATTAATTTTAACATTATCTGTTTCTTCCAGATTATGTAACTTTTGTTTGAAACATTTTTGCCTGCTGGACTCAGTTTTCGAGGAATTCCGGTGTTTTAAGTGCACCCCCCACCTTACATATATGTATGAATTGTGTATGGGCACATAATGTGTGCACATACATACTCATATACACACACACATATATATATATATATATATATATATATATATATATCTGTGTATGTATAAATTATATATTTTTTTTGTCTTTTACTAAATCGAATATTTTCTTTATTTTGTTTTAATTCTTCAATTAATAGTAAATTGACACTTACTGTAGGGGAGACCGGGGCGGAGTCGACACTACAATTATCTCGAAATCTGTATGTTGTGTGAACTCTCCATTAATATTGTAAACACTACTTATGGTACTCATGTGACCAACGGAGTTTAGTGAGATTATATGCCATGTTGTAATTTTCATTAAGGCAAACTTGTTTTCGGAGGTCAAAAGTAAAATTTTTTGTGCGTTGAAAATTTTAAATATTATTTTCTCTCCGAATCTCGAGATAAGTGATTCTGAAGAGTAATACATGCTGAACACGAATTCAGTGAAAATTTTTTATTTTCGTTGATTTCTAATATTTCATAAGTGATCAAACTTAAAATCTATGTCCGGGGCTAGAAGTCGTCACTAAACCATATGATGGAGGCTTCGGGCGAAAATCAAAGTCAAAGAAGCAGTAGTGATCGGATTCCGGCGAGGACTTGGATAATATGTGCTGCGTGTGCTCAGAGATGACAGAGAACAGAGCTAACGAGAAACAGTGCATTTCGTGCGAGCGTAGGGTACATAAGTGCGTGCGCTTTTTTTGTAATTATTTTCCGCCATTGTGTTTTTAATTAATGTTTCCATTTTTCTATTAAAAAATAATTAATAAAATGTATTCTATCATTTTTCATGAACGGAATTATGAATTTTCATTTAAAATTCAGTCCGAGAATGGAGTAACGACTCCGCCCCGGCAATTTTGACATTTTAATTTTTGCAACTTTGTAGTTTTCACTTTATACCAGTTGAACAAAGCGACGTAGACCAGAAATGTCCTTATACATTTTGTAGCTAAAGGTTCACTCTTTACAACGGTATACCACATTTTACTAAAATTATTTGTTTTGTTGTTAAAAATCGGCACCAAAAAAATAGTGACGACTTTGTCCTGGTCTCCCCTACTCCTACACTATTGCTGCGTATTTCTTAAAAACAATTTATATTCGCGACGTTAACAGTGTTAAGATTTCTAGGGAAAGTCATATTTGAATTCCAAATATTTTAATAGAATTATTTATCGCTCATCATATATGGTAGTAGCTTGTATGCTTTAATTGTGGAGACTCAAGCAAAGGTCAGTTATTTGTCATATTCCATGTTGTTCCACCATGTTGACATAGACGATAAGGAAAACAAAGTTTATATATATTAAAAGTATTTCTTTTTTATACACAAACACATGCGTGCGTGCATATTCAGAGAGAGAGAGAGAGAGAGAGAGAGAGAGAGGGAGAGAGAGAGGGAGAGGGAGAGGGAGAAAAAGAGAGAGAGGGAGGAGGAAGGAATAAGAGAGCATAGTGAGGATGAGAAGGTAAATGTAGATGAAAAAGTGGGTAGAAATGAGGAAAAGAGATAGGGATGGGAAGAGAGAAAGGAGAAGAGGTGGGTGCCATCGTGTGTGTGTACGCGCGGATCAGTATAAGAAAGATATTCCGGCATCTCTCTCTCTCTTTCTTTCTCTCTCTCCCTTTCTCCCTCCTTCTCTTCTTTGTTTCTTCCTTCGTTCCTTTTCTTGTCTCCCTCTTCCTCTCTCTTTTACTCTCTTTTTTTCTCTCCTTTCCTCTCTCCTCCCTCTCTCCTTCTTTCTCACTAACTTACTCACTCACTCACTCACTTACTCAGTTTCAATAAGGTCAGATAAAGAAACATATTAAAAGAAGAAAATATTTTACACATAGATCAAACAGTTCGCAATTAATTATTTTTATTTGACCAGTTGATCCATCGCTTTTTCAGGTGATAGCTGTGATATCCATACTCTTTATTGTACTTTCAACGATTGCTCTAACTCTCAACACCATTCCTAGTATGCAAGTAAATGATGAAAAAGGAAACTTCCAAGACAATCCGCAGCTCGCTATGGTGGAGGCTGTGTGCATTTCGTGGTTCACTCTCGAATACTTGCTTAGGTTCAGTGCCTCACCAGACAAATGGAAGTTCTTCAAGGGCGGTCTTAACGTGATTGATTTGCTGGCGATACTACCGTACTTCGTATCTCTATTCCTAGTCGAGACCAACAAAAATGCGAACGACCAGTTCCAAGACGTGCGCAGGGTAGTGCAGGTCTTTCGTATAATGCGGATCCTGAGGATCTTGAAGTTGGCCCGTCATTCGACTGGGCTGCAGAGTCTTGGCTTTACCTTACGTAACTCATATAAAGAGCTAGGGCTACTGATGCTTTTCTTGGCAATGGGCGTCCTCATATTCTCCAGTCTCGCCTATTTTGCCGAGAAAGAGGAGCCCGGGACCAAATTCATAAGCATTCCAGAGACCTTCTGGTGGGCAGGCATCACAATGACCACCGTCGGATACGGCGACATCTACCCCACGACCCCGCTCGGCAAAGTGATCGGCAGTGTGTGTTGTATATGTGGTGTCCTGGTAATCGCGTTGCCCATTCCCATTATCGTCAACAACTTCGCCGAATTCTACAAGAATCAGATGAGACGAGAGAAAGCCATCAAGAGGCGAGAGGCTCTTGAAAGGGCTAAACGGGAAGGCAGCATCGTGTCTTTTCATCACATCAACTTGAGAGACGCTTTCGCCAAGAGTATGGATCTCATCGACGTCATCGTCGACACCGGTAAGCGACGGACCAATGTGCGCGCGAAGGATACGATCTATGATCTGCTTCGCGCTATGATGCTTTTCGTTTATTGAACAAAATTGATTTTGACTCAAGATTATTATTTCTGATCTATTAACTAATTTCTTTTGAGTGATATTATCTCCTATGCTTAGTATATTTTTATTATTTTCTTTTTTTCACCCTTTAATTCTATTAATAGCAATATTGTAAAATAAGGTTACTCATATAACCTAACTCCATGTTACGATATTTCAATCAATCCTCGAGATTTATCGAGGCTCCTACGGCTATAAATTAGTCTCAATGTAAGATATTTATAAAGCCATCATTATTGTTATGGAACTCAGGATTTTTCGGTTTTGATACATACTTAAACTAAGACTCAGCGCGGGAGCAAAATAAAGGGTGTGTTAACATGCAATTGTGCGAATAATATGCGTCCCTCTTTCCCGTAATTATCAACTCGTTTTTTTTTAGTAGAGTAATCCATATACATGCATACTGCTCGATAGTCTCCCCGCTTATTGTCTGTAAAAATATAAAGTTATTTCCACATAAAAAATTTTTTAGTAATTATGCATAGATAGGGATACGTACGAAATCCGGAAACTTTAGGGAATATTTTAAGACATTAGTAATGTATTCATCTAATCGTTAAGTACATGTACCTATTATTCGTTGAAAACCTCGGCCGTGGCAATTTGCATCATTCTATCTTTCTCGTTCATTAGATATAAACAATAATAGAATGACAATAGCACGCTCCGCGAACGCATATTTAGAATGACTTATTTCTTGTAAAGTGTCGGTAACCTCATCTGATTTTTCGTACACATGCCCCTTATTACTGTATATTTAACATATATCAAATTTAGGTACCTATCTAATACTTATTCTCACAAAAAGACTACCTTAAATGTACATGGTATCAGAAAATTACGTTTTATTTATTAAAATTATTTAATCAATAATTTTTTGATATAAAACGAGCGACGGCTAAAACTTTCTGAAGATTACTCAGAAAGGTGACTTCTATAATATACATTAAGATTATAGGAGGTAGGCCCCTATTCGGTATATTTACATACCCAACTTCTTACAAGATCTCGCAAACCCAAAAATTCTGATTTTAATGAAATTTTCCACATTTGTATAATAAGGGAGGAAAAAGATAAAAGAAATTTTTCGTTGTTCTTCTATTCAATAATATTAATATTTTGAGAGAATAATTTTTTAAACAAAATTGTTATTAAAAATTAAAATAATTGTTTTCAAAATTTTATTAACGTGGTTAAATAGAGGTGTTTTTGCCATAAAACTTTTATATGAAACATTTTTTGATATTTTGTATACTTTTTGAGATTTATCTATTGAAAAAAGCAAAAAGCCACTTTACATATGAGAGGGACAATTTCGCCCTTTAAAACTATTTTTGGGCCGTAACAGAAAATTTCTAAATTTGTCAATTTACCTCCCGTACATGTGTGGAAAGTTTTATAATAAAAACATTTATATATATTTAACCACAAAAAATAATTTTTTCAAAAATTTATTTTTTTGCATCTTTTATATAAAGAAATCTGTTGCGTTAATATATAATAGTTATATATACAGTATAATTATGTAGTAAAGAAACAACAATAATAAACAAGAAGTACAGGAGAAAACAGAAGACATAAGCAGGAATGTTACCCTGTTTCCCGAGCAAGCAAAAATGCTTTGAGAAGATTCTTAAAGGTAGGGAATGAGGAAGTAGAGGTGATATTGACAGGAAGTGAGTGCCAGAAATAGATAGAAGAAAGATGAAAAGAGTTTCTGTTCGTGGTTGTTCATGAGAAGGAATATGAAATGTATGAGACGCAAGAGGAAGGCGGTCAGATCTCCTCAACAGCGGATCAGGCAACGTAAAATTTTCCCGCAAGTAAGAAGGGGAGCACATGTGAAGTATGCGAAACATTTGACAACCAAGAAAATATTGTCTTCTATTTTTAACTGAAAGCCATCTTAATTGGCGTCTATACGGAGTAATATGTTCATCTCTCTTGAGATCAAAGATAAAGCGGATGCAACAATTGACGAGTCTCTGTAATAAAGTATTTAACCACCATTTAAACCGTGATAGACTAAGCAGCAGTAATTGATGTGTGGCATAATTAGAGCTAATACCAGCCTTATCCTTAACCTCGTAGAAAGTTAATTTTTATTGAACTTAAGTTTATGCAAAGAAAAATGAACTTTTTGAGAGATGTGTAAAATGTGTTTTTTCTAAGACAAGTTAGACGTAAAAACTACACCCAAATTCCTGGTTTCATTAACAAAGGGTATAGGTGTTTGGTTTACAATAATAGGTGGTAAGTTATGGAAGTCGATATCATTAACATAGGAATGACTACCAAAAATCAATACCTTAGATTTCGCAGGATTAAGTCTAAGACCATTCAAATTTGCATAGTCAAAAATAGCGTTCGCATCTCTGGAAATCATTTCAAGACCATGGAGAATGTCAGCACGAGAACATTGGAGATATATTTGTATATCATCAGCAAAGAGCATATGATACATAAACGACAGAAAACCACCTATATTATTAATATACAGTGCAAACAGAAGAGGACCTAGTACAGAACCTTGAGGGACACCGGACGATGTGAACAGCCAGTCTGAGAGATTACCTTCATCATCAGTTACTTGAGAACGGTCAGTGAGATAGAAGAATATCCACACAAGGACCTCGTCAGAGAATCCTAATTCTTTTAACTTCAAAAGTAAACGAAGATGTGGAACAGTATCAAAGGCTTTACTGAAGTCGAAGAGAATCATAATTGTGATAAGCCTGTCATCAATTCCCTTTTTTATGTCATCACAGACGCGTAAAAGTGCAGATTGCGTGTTGTAACCTGAATGATACGCAGACTGTCTGGGATTCAAAAGATTATGCTTGTTTAAATAGTCAGTGATCTGTGAGGCCACTATTCGTTCAAGGATTTTAGACATTTCCGGAAGGTTAGCAATAGGTCGAGTATCAGATGGAGACAGAGGAGTGCGAATTTTTGAGAGAGGGCGGATCAACGCACGTTTCCATAATGAAGGAAATACGGAGGATTGAAGTGAACAATTAAGCAGTGAAGTGAGCCATTGGGAAATAACAGGCCAGGCAATACGGAGAACATAAAGCGGAATACCGTTGTTCGGGCGCGCACTAAACGCGCCGAACGAATCGCCGAATCCGTTCCGCGAGAACGCGAGATAATTACGAATGGCTTCGTTCAGCCCTTTAACTATGAGACGACCGGGGTTTCAGTTAAACGCGGACTCGATCGCTTGTTAGGAAGTTGAGTGGAAGGCCCAAAAGACAGCAATTAACTTATAATATATATAAACTTTATTCGGTATAATAAAACAAAACTGACGAAACGCGAGATGTACAAAAGATTAGTGCAAATGCACTCGGCGCGCTGTGACTTGTAGTATGCGTAGGTTTGAAGTGCGATTTACATAAAGTGCGCACAGAAAAGCGGTAGAAACGATAGACGGTATCGCGAATGCAGTTGTCGCGGTGTGACGGAGTTGCGAAACGCGGTCTAACGTCCGATGCCTACAGAGACGCGGTAGGTGGATACGGCAGGAAGCGAAGCACCGGGGCCACGACAGCGAGAGGGCTCGCAACGAGGCCGAGCGTGCTCGACCCCGAGGAATCGTGATCGTCGGTTTGGTAGGCTGGAGTTCGGGGACACCTGAGAGCACTCAGTCGAGACTCGGAGCACCGGACCTCGTTTTATGTGTCGCCCTAGGAAGTTGGATAGGGTAGGCTTCGTCGAAGGCAGCAGAGAGCCGGAGATAAGACGAAGTGTCGGCTCCTGTCGGAGCGCCGACTTAAATACTCCGGCGCGGCGGGTTCGTTGGAAGGGAGGCCGGCGGTCGGGCGAGCCGCGTGGGAATGCTGACGCGCGCTCGCCTTCGGCGCGGATCGGCTCCTTCCGGCGGTGCCGAACTAATTGAGAATTTTGCGTGAGAAGCAGAAGAAAAGTATATCGCAGTACATAGAACGGTTAGATATAATTTTTACATTACTAAATTGGGGGAATCCCCAACAACCGTCCTGGCCAGATGCAAAGGAATGAAGAGGTTCATTTGTGATAAGTTTATATACATCATCAGGTTGAATAATAGAGAAAACAAACTTTGAACGTTGAGAAGGACTAGAAACTAAAGCAATGGCTGACATGAAGTTAATGTACGAGCAAGGTGATGAAGTATTAGATACAGAGACGTAATATGAATTCAGTTTATCAGGTGAGAAAAAACGGAGAGGAGAACCCGACGTAGACTTGACAAGCCCAAGACGGGCAAGTTCTCTTCACAATTTAGCAGAGTCGGTTACGTTAGTAAGAGAGGCAAAGTGAAAATCACTCTTGGCGCGGTTGATATCAGTGTTAAGCTGGTTGCGAAGATGTCGGTATGTAGCATAGCCAAGAAGACTATTGGAACGTTTGGCTTGCTTGTACAGCTGATTACGTGTACGGAGTCGGGATCTAAGTTCATCAGTGACTCAATGAATAGGAGGCCTTCTAATCACGGATCTACGAGCAGGAGCAAACACATCCAGCACGTCAAGCAAGGTAGACGATAGACGAGAACAAACCTTCTCAACGTTAGTCACATTCACAATCTGAACATTAATTGCTAAGGATTGAAGATGCTCAAGGAACACAGAGGTGTCAAAGTTCCTATAACTACGCCGCAGTACAGATTGCTTAGAGTCAAACGTACGATTTAGAGAGAATGACATTTTAAGTAGATCATGTCCTGCAATGAATGGGCTCGAGGATTCGGTAAACGATAAAACCTTGTCAATGTCATCCACAACCAGAACATCTAACCACGAATCAGAAGTGGCGGTATGAAAGGTGGCTTCAGAGTCGACAATGTTCAAAGATAAACTTGACATAAGTTCACGCAAGTAGTTAGCCTCGAAACCACTTCTCAAAAGATTG